CAGTACTATGTTGAATAGGAGTGGAGATAGTGGGCATCCTTGTCTGGTTCCTGATTTTAGAGGGAATGGTTTTAATTTTTCTCCGTTAAGTATAATGCTGGCTGTAGGTTTGTCATATATAGCTTTTATAATGTTGAGGAACTTTCCTTCTATTCCTAGTTTTCTTAGAGCTTTTATCATGAAATGATGTTGGATCTTATCAAAGGCTTTTTCTGCATCTATTGAGATGATCAAGTGGTTTTTGTCTTTGCTTCTGTTAATGTGGTTTATTACGTTTATTGATTTTCGTATGTTGAACCACCCCTGCATCCCTGGGATGAAGCCTACTGGTCGTGGTGAATAATCTTTTTGATGTGTTGCTGAATTCGGTTTGCCATTATTTTGTTGAGGATTTTTGCATCAATGTTCATTAAGGAGATTGGCCTATAGTTCTCCTTTTTGGAGGTGTCTTTGCCTGGTTTTGGGATAAGTGTAATACTGGCTTCATAAAATGTGTTTGGCAGTTTTCCTTCCCTTTCTATTTCATGGAACAGTTTAAGGAGGGTTGGTATCAGTTCTTCTTTAAAGGTCTGATAGAATTCAGCAGAGAATCCATCAGGTCCTGGACTTTTCTTTTTGGGGAGACTCTTGATTGCTGCTTCAATTTCATTTTGTGTTATAGGTCTATTCAGGTGATTAATTTCCTCTTGGTTCAGTTTTGGATGATCATATGTATCTAGAAATCTGTCCATTTCTTTTAGATTTTCAAATTTATTTGAATATAGGTTCTCAAAGTAGTCTCTGATGATTTCCTGGACTTCCATGGTGTTTGTTGTTATCTCCCCTTTTGCATTCCTGATTCTACTAATTTGGGTTTTTTCTCTCCTCATTTTAGTCAGGTTTGCCAGGGGTCTATCGATCTTGTTTATTTTTTCAAAGAACCAACTTTTTGTTTCATTAATTCTTTGTATGGTTTTTTTGGTTTCTATTTCGTTGATTTCAGCTCTTATTTTTATTATTTCTCTCCTTCTATTTGTTTTGGGATTTGCTTGTTCTTGTTTTTCTAGGAGTTTGAGATGTATCATTAGGTCATTGATTTGGGATCTTTCATCTTTTTAATATATGCACTCATGGCTATAAACTTTCCTCTCAAGACTGCCTTAGCTGTGTCCCATAGGTTCCGGTAGGTTGTGTTTTCATTTTCATTGACTTCCAGGAACTTTTTAATTTCCTCTTTTATTGCATCGATGATCCATTCTTCATTAAGTAATGAGTTATTTAGTTTCCAGCTGTTTGCATGTTTTTTGTCTTTACTTTTGTTGTTGAGTTCTACTTTTACTGCATTGTGGTCAGATAGTATGCATGGTATTATTTCTATTTTCTTATATTTGCTGAGGCTTGCTTTGTGCCCTAGGATATGATCTATTTTGGAGAAGGTTCCATGGGCTGCTGAGAAGAATGTATATTGTGTAGAGGTTGGATGAAATGTTCTGTAGACATCTACTAGGTCCACTTGATCTATTGCATATTTTAGATCTTGGATTTCTTTATTGAGTTTTTGTTTGGATGACCTATCTATTGATGATAATGGAGTGTTAAAGTCTCCCACAACCACTGTGTTGGCGTTTATATATGCTTTTAGGTCTTTCAGGGTATGTTTGATGAAATTGGGTGCGTTGACATTGGGTGCGTACAGATTGATGATTATTATTTCCTTTTGGTCTATTTCCCCTTTTATTAGTATGGAATGTCCTTCTTTATCTCGTTTGATCAATGTAGGTTTGAAGTCTACTTTGTCAGAGATAAGTATTGCTACTCCTGCTTGTTTTCGGGGGCCATTGGCTTGGTAAATCTTCTTCCAGCCTTTCATCCTAAGCATATGCTTATTTCTGTCGGTGAGATGAGTCTCCTGTAAGCAACAAATTGTTGGATCTTCTTTTTTAATCCATTTTGTCAAACGGTGTCTTTTGATGGGTGAATTAAGTCCATTAACATTAAGTGTTAGTACTGATAGGTATGTGGTGATTCCTGCCATTTAGTTATCTTAGTTGTTTGAAGGTTTGATTGTGTGTACCTAACTTGATGTTACTCTCTACTGTCTTGCTTTTTCTTATCCTGTGGTTTGGTGCTGCCTGCCTTTTCATGGTTAAGTTGGGTGTCACTTTCTGTGTGCAGGATCCCTTGCAGAATCTTTTGTAATGGTGGCTTTGTGGTCACATATTGTTTTAGTTTCTGCTTATCATGGAAGACTTTTATTGCTCCATCTATTTTGAATGATAGCTTTGCTGGGTAGAGTATCCTGGGGTTGAAGTTATTTTCATTCAGTGCCCGGAAGATCTCACCCCACGCTCTTCTTGCTTTTAATGTTTCTGTTGAGAAGTCTGCTGTGATTTTGATGGGTTTACCTTTGTATGTTACTTGTTTTTTCTCTCTTACAGCCTTCAATATTCTTTCCTTAGTTTCTGAACTTGTTGTTTTAATGATGATATGTCGTGGAGTAGTTCTATTTTGATCTGGTCTGTTTGGTGTCCTGGAGGCCTCTTGCATTTGTATGGGAATATCTTTCTCTAGATTTGGGAAATTTTCCATTATTATTTTGTTGAATATATTACGCATTCCCTTCGCTTGCACCTCTTCTCCTTCTTCGATGCCCATGATTCTCAAGTTTGGTCTTTTGATGGAGTCAGTGAGTTCTTGCATTTTCTTTTCACAGGTCTTGAGTTGTTTAATTAATAGTTCTTCAGTTTTTCCTTTAATTACCATTTCATCTTCAAGTTCTGAGATTCTGTCTTCTGTTTGTTCTATTCTGCTGGATTGGCCTTCCGTTTTGTTTTGCAGTTCTGTTTCATTCTTTTTTCTGAGGTTTTCCATATCCTGGCTGTTTTCTTCTTTATTGTTGTCTATTTTTGTCCTGAGTTCATTTATCCATTTATTCATTGTGTTCTCTCTTTCACTTTGGTGTTTATACAGTGCTTCTATGGTTTCCTTTATTTCTTCTTTTGCTTTTTCAAATTCTCTATTTTTATTGTCTTGGAATTTCTTGAGTGTCTCCTGTACATTTTGGTTGACCCTATCCAGTATCATCTCTATAAAATTCTCATTGAGTACTTGTAGTATGTCTTCTTTTAAATTATTCTTGTGGGCTTCATTGGGTCCTTTGGCATAGTTTATCTTCATTTTGTTGGAGTCTGGATCTGAGTTTCTCTTCTCTTCATTCCCCTCTGGTTCCTGTACTAATTTTTTGCTGTGGGGAAACTGGTTTCCTTGTTTTTTCTGTCTTCCTGTCATTGTCCTTGGTGTTGTTACTGTCCCTGTACTGTGTGTAATTAAGTATTTTCTAGCTTGTAATAATAACAATGGTAATATTGAGAATGGAAGAGTGAGCTGAGATGGAAAGCAAGAAGTTAAAGAAAAGGGGAAAACAAATATACAGACAAGAGGGAGAAAGCAGAACAAGGTATCAGACAAGAGAGTTTCAAAGGTATAAACAGGGAGTGTTAGTGTACTAATCGACAGTAAGCTGAACAGACAATAGAGAGACAGAGAGAGGATTGAAAATCAAAGATAAAAAAAATAAAAAATAAGTATATGAAAGTAATATCTATTTATAAAAATGAATTAAAATAAAATGGAAAATAGAAAATTAAAAAAAAACCAAAAAACTTTCAAGTTTATATGCAATGCAGTTTCAGTCTTAATAATTTGGGTGTCCGTCTCAATCTCCATTCCTGGAGTTGGTGCCTCAGATGTTGTTCTGTAGTTGTCTCATCAAAGGGGATGCATAAAGTAGAACAAAACTACACACTCACACACACACACACACACACACAAAAAAAAAAGCCCCACCAAGTGTCCCCAGTTCAAATGCAATACAGTTTCAGTAAGTTTTTCGGCTTGCAGGTGTAATTCGGTTGTTCTCTCATCAAAGGTAGGGAGAAAAAGAAAAAAAAGCGTCTGGAGGCAGTTCTGAGAGTGGTATCTGCAACTGTGGCTTGCCTGCCTGCTGCTCTCAGCCTGTAGCTGGCGGTGTTATTTATGCAGATCTCTGGGGTGAGCTAGCACTCACCTGGTCCCACAGGCTTTGTTTGCTCAGAGTTCTCCTGTGTGGGGGGCCTCTGCTACAGGCTTTCCCCTTTCCAAGCACTGGGAAAGGTGACACTGCCCCGCGTTGTCAGGCCTGCCGCTCCCGCCAGAGCCTCTCCGGCCGCCCGGCTTATTTATTTACAGTCCCGGGAAGGAGTCCCTTCCCCCAATCTTCAGCGCTCGGGGCGCCCCACCCTCTTTCCAGCGTGTCTTAACTGTTCTTATTGCTTATTAGTCAGTTTCTCTTTTTTCCTCGGGTGGAGGTCAGTCTGTCCAGGGGGCTATGCTGCTCTGGCCCAGGCTTGTCTGTGGGGGAACCGCGGTACCGCAAAGCTCACCTGGTCCGCGTCTTCCCAAGCCGTATGGGCGCCGGCCACTGGCGGCCCCGGGGGCCTCCTCGGTTCTCCGTTTAACATGAAGTGGAGATTCTCTGCGCCGGCTGGAGATGCGGAGGGGTCAAAGTTATGCCTTTTCTCGGTGATTATGCCTGCAAAGTGTGTCTCCAGCGTCTCTCCAAGATTTCACTATAGGAGGGTCGCTTTCTGCTTCCTACCTCTAGCTGCCATCTTGGAATCACTCGATACTCTGGCTTGAGTCAAGTGATGTGTAGATGTGCTCTACTCTGGGAATTGAAAGCACAATAGATGGTAACATCCATTGTATTATTTAGTTTCTTTTTGTAAAGATACACGTAACCAATCCATGATATAAACCTAAGAAATTTTTTTTCTTTTTCCTGTACAGTTATGATTCTTCCTTTTGTCAGTTCACAAAAATGGTACCATATTTGTTTCTCTTTTTGCCCTACCTACAGAAATGCTCAGAGCTAAGTTTTCTCTTGATTGCAGTAAGTCACTGGCTTAGACTAAGTCTTTTGCTAAAATTATCACTTTCATTTCACCACCTAATTCTTGTCCCATAATGGTGTTCCACCACCATTAGCAGGCAGAGCATAACTAACAAAGAGGTACAATAGTGTGTTACTCCTACAGTGATTAAGAAAATAAGCACTTAATATATTGGCTATAGATTGATTGTTTTTTTAAACCCACAGATTGATCTTCAGACGTTCCTCACTCTCACAGATCAGGATTTGAAGGAACTTGGAATTACTACTTTTGGTGCCAGGAGGAAAATGCTGCTTGCAATCTCAGGTGAATATAAATGTTAAACTCATTTTAAAATCTGAAAAACATCTACCAGTAGTCTCAGCTGGTGGGGCTGGTTCTCCCTGTCAGCTGCTTGCTTACTACTCTGAAACCGTAGTGGTTATGGTTTCAGAGGGTTTCCTGCCAATAGTGTGACCAGTTTTGAGAATACCCTGCTCCTTCATCAAGGCATTGCCTGAAATCTGCCTTGACAGTGTCATTCCTTAAAATAGATCTACTGAGAAGGATATAGCCACAGTTGCACTATATCCTTATGTGAGTGGGGGAAACAATTTAATTCTCCATTGTTGCAGTTGAATTAAGCAATAATCATTGGGTTCGTGACAAATGATTCTTGGTTGGATGTCATGTTCAAATGTGTGTGTCCTAGCACATAACTGAGATCATGCACTGGGGAAAAAAGACCATTCACTGGCATAGCTTGGAACTTGGCAATATAATTTAATCTTAATACCTTCTAATTTTTTCAATGTCTTCATAGAATTTGTGAATCACAGGATGTAGTATCCTGAAGATAGTCACAAAAATTTTTTAAAAATGTTACCTGCTTCCCTACTCTACCTTCTTTGTGTATTTTTTGCATATTCCATAAAACTCTATATATGTTTATTAAGTACCACTCATTTGAAAGGGATTGAACCAGACAATGAGTCATGAGTTACAAATTTTTTAAATATTTCCAGTAAGGTTCTTGAATGTGTGCCAGTCTCTCAAAAAGGTAGACACAAAAGGCAGAAGCCAAACATCATGTACTTTGAGGAAATTACTTTGGTTTTTTAGAACACTGAATTTGCAAGCTAGGTTCCTTGAGGCCAGCAGTTTCATCCAACTACATTCACTAATCAGATCAGCAAATAAAATTTAAAACCTCAGTGGTTTTCTCTTTTATTTAGCAGCAAATTGCATTTTCTTACCCACCTTCCCCTAAGAAATCTTTTATCTGAAGCAGATATAGGCAGAAAAATTAGTGTGGAAATACTAATTGAGCTTCATGATGGCAGCTGGTAGGCTTCACCATGGGTAAAGGTCTGCACACATCACATCTTGTGTACTCAAAAAACTGCATTAGTGGTACTCCAAAGGTAGAGGTATTCCATTGTGCTCATAAGATCATCACGACATAGTGAAAAGAACACAGGATGCTAATAGGAGTCCTGGGCTTTGCCTCTGTGAAATCATGAGTTCATGGGTAGGTTTCCAAACCTCTTTTGGTTTGGGTTTATTAATCATGAAGGTAGGGAAGGATAGATGATTGTGTAAGATCACCTTCCATTTCTGAGACTTGTCCTTCTGTGTACTATAACATCAGACTTGATGACAATAGACAAACAACAGTTTTAATAGTATATGTTAATAGCAGGATTCTCCCTTGTTTTTTTTTTAACCATCTATGATAAAAGGCTTGTTTTTTCAATTTATTTATTTTTCCTAAAAGTTATCCTCGGAGGGCTATTTCTAGATTCAAATTAACTTTATATACTTTCACATTCTTGTACTAATTTGCAAGTGACAATGATATTTACTTGATATTTGATCAACTCACATATGCACATCTGTACTATTGAAAAGTGCTTACTGGCCAGCGTTTTTATGAGGAGGTGTATACAACTCCATGTCTTTCATTAGCAATTCATGGAATGGCAGTGACAAAATAATGGAAGCACCAAGCACCAAGTCCAGACTGTTAACATTTCAGCTACGAGCAGATCTCTAAATATTTTCATAGGTCAGAGATGGATCATCAGTACCTTTCACTCTGAGTTTGGGGGACTCAGAAGGGATTTAAGTTTTTTCCCAGTCATCATCTTCAGTATGGCTCTTTTGAGGTTATATGCTACTTCTGTAGACTGCCTCTCTCAGTTGGGTTCACAGGGCCTCTTGCTTTTAAAGGAAATTAGATGTTGAGTAAGATGCCTATGAATGCTGTGCTGCACAGCATGAAGTTTTTTATTTTTTTAAAGATGATTTTGACGTACTTTATTGAGGGCATTTGTTTGAACCTGGTAAAATCATTTTCTGTGCAAGTAATAAGTTTTATTGAGAAACGCTTTAACAAAAAGCTTCTTTCTCCAATTCAAAGTGTCTGATAACAAAGACATTGTTTATAATCCCAGAACATTCAATTTCCAAAGACATGCAGCCTAGCTAGGCAGCCCGGACTCACATTTGTCTTGTGGTTACAGCTTGGTTAGGTACAGTCTGCTCAAAAATCCCTTTAAAATTCTGTAGATTTTTAACTTATAGTCAGAGTTATTCTTTCAGAATGAGGTTTGATTTTGTTTCTATCTTGGGCCAGAAGGCATGTATTTTAATATTAAAGAATGCATTTAATTTTTTTTTGAAAATTCATGATTTTTTGAAAATTCACAGATTTCTCTCTGACTAGTTTAGTGATTGGTTACCTAGATGTGTAGAGACTCAGTGAAAGGAAGGTTAGTGTCCTGTCGACGGGCTTTCTGCCACAGCCTCAGGTAGATCTAACATTTCCCGACCTATTCTTTTAGTTTGTGACTCTGTTCAGATCCGCAACAAGATCCTGAGAGCTGCCAGGATTGTGTGAACCTTGGAATTTCAAAGAAAAAGGTTGGTATTTTCCCAAACTATGCCTTAGGATTACTGAGAAAAGAAAAAGCAGAGGAAGGAGTTTGCTTTTTAATTTAAAAAACAACAAAAACCCAAAAGTGTCTTCAGTAGGACCTGACCCCTGGTTAACTCTCTCAAAGACTTATCTTTGTGCCTCACATTGAAAAAAAATTACATGTATGTACTCTCTGAGAAATGGTATCTTTAGGGAGTGGCTGAGTGCCCTCATCATTTTACGCTTTCAAAGATCTAGCTGATACGGCTTTTCAGAAACTTTTCAGTGTTTATTTTTTAAAAATTGTCTTCATTGGCCCACTGTTTTCATGTGCTCTTGCACTTGTTAAGTGTGTAGGAAGAATGTAGTTTACCCTCACACCCTACTTTTCCTTCTCTATAATATGGGAATGTACTCCTTCGTAAGATACACCCCCAACAAGAAAGCAGCAAACATAGTCTTCCAGCTTGAAACTGCAATAAGACTTTCCCAGGCTGTGCACTTTAATTAAGGGGATTCATTTATTCTTAAGTCTCCTAGAAGTTTGTCTTAAATACATTCAATTCCATCTTAACTTCTGAGTTTGCACTGCTGTGTTTGGAGGGGATGGTTTAAACAAGATACATTTGCTCTACTTTTAATAGGAATGTCAGTCCTACTGGGACTCTGCAGGAACTTGAAACAGTAGCCATCATGCAGGTTGTCTCTTGTTGATAAAGATATCTTCCCTGTTTCTAAACTTTATATATTTAAAAAATAAATGTGGTGGACTAAAATATGAAAGAATGCTGTTATTAGGCATATGTGGAACTAGCACTTTCTCTGTTTTGGATTCCTGCTGTCTAAGTTGGTCTCTGTCTGATGGGTCACAGCAGCACAGTGCTTGGGGCATTGACCTTTGCATTGGGCAGGTGGGATTTCAGCTCCATCACTTAATAGATGTGTGGACAGATGATTTCAACTTTTTAAAAAACTGTTTTTCTTTTCTATAAAATAAAGAATGGTATTATTATCTATCCTTTAGGGACAGAACACAACAAAATGATTATAGATGCTTGTCAAGAAATCACTTACATATTTTTCTTTCCTAAGAACTGTATGTAAACAAAGGAGTGGTATCTCCACTGTTGCCTTAACCCTGACATGGCAGGCATTTATATTTTGGAAAGCATTGGGGTAAAACGTTCAGGGCTTTGACCCATGTTCGAGAAATCAGGACACGGGAGTGTGTCCGGCATTGTAGCCATCCTTAACTACCTGACCTGCTACATCCCAAGTCCGTGTTCTCAGCTGGCTGTAGCTTACTATGTAACTTCAGAAGTCTAAAGGGCATTGCATGTGTAGGTGAAAAAACAAGTTCCATGCAAATAAAAGGTGTTGAATCACCTACCTCCAGCCCCCTCACAAAAGAGGCAACTTTAAGCATGTCACCCATATAATCTCTCTAATCTATTTGAAATTAAATGCATTTGAAGATATTTCCACTTCGTGACTATCAGAAACCCTAGTTTCCAGGGTCAGACAAATCCACTTGTCTGAATTCATTATTAAGATTCTGGGGTCTGTTGGGGGATGGAGGACATAATCATAAGGTAGTCTGCATCACTTATCTTTTTAACTTTCTCTTTAATAGTTTTTACGTGGCAGTAGACACACTAAACTGTTTTCTAAGTACCTTAGTTTCTTTAAAATTAAAATAGGGCACTTCAGTTTTCCTTCAAAATTGGTACTCAAGTATTGGTTGTTTTTGACTTTTTTATTCAAATAAATATTCTTCATAAAACTGACTCAAGAAACCTAGGCTTCACAGGTTGGCACAGGCCTGGGGCAATGACTCAATACTTTGGTCTCTCCTTTAGTAGCCTTGGTTTTGGTGTGGGGTTTTCTTTTCACATCTGACTTTAATAACTTAATGGTTGCTTATTTGACATGAATAAGTTCAGTAAATGTAATAATCTTCTATACATTCTATAATGTGCCTTTCCTCAGCCTTAATTTCCCCCTCGCCCTTTGAAATGACCTTTTTCTTAATGTGGTTAGAGGATTCTGGGAATGACATCTATCCAATAGTTTCTAAACCACAATACAAACTATTTGCTGCCCTTGGTTTTCTAGGTTACCAATATTGCTGCCTCCAACATCAGACTTTCTAGTATTTCAGAAATGTTTCCACCATTAACTGAAAGTCTTCCTTTTGCCACCAGACTTGACTTTCCCCTCAAAATGTACTGTAACCATTACCTGAGCTCTAATGCCATGTCCTGTAGCATATAGTACTTCTCCACTGAACGGCTAACAATTCTTTCTCCCTCTCTCTCTCCCTCTCTCTCTAGAGCTAAATAAAAACCGAAGAAAGCTATTTGAACCACCAAATGCACGCACCACTTTTCTGGAAGGTGGAGCAAGTGGGAGGCTGCCCCGTCAGTATCACTCAGACATTGCTAGTGTCAGTGGCCGCTGGTAGCAGTACCTTCTAGGCCCGCTCCCACCAGCGAACTGTAGAGTTGGACAGAGAAGATCTGTGAATGGCCTTCACTGCACACCGTGTTCAGTACTCTGGGTGTCTGGTATCAGGACCAAAGCATCTCATTCACTCCTGTACTTTGTGGCAAAAAGAAAGAAGAGAGAGAAGATGTTCTTATATTGCCATATAAACACCAAATGTGGATTACTTTTTAAAATGGCAATTGGACAGAATTTGCAATATGAGGGTAGGGCTTTATTCTTTTTTATTTACCTATATAACATATGCACTGATTTTTTTTTATTTTTACTTAAAATGAAGGACAAATTGACATCTGGAATGCCAGAAAACTTAGGAGTTATTTTGTTTGCTTGCTTAGTATTTGGGGATTTAAAGAAGTGATCGAAAGTGGGGTTTTCTGGTACTGCTTTAAGTGGTATTGAGGTCGTTGGCACCTCACATGTTCTAGCCTCTTGTCCTGTGGAAATTTCTCTTTCTCCTTCCCAGCCATTTTCATGGCACCTAACATCTCGGTGCGGAGCAGATTGAGTCACATTTTTTTGATTATATCAAATTTTTATTTGAAATGGTACTGGATATTAGTTTTTGTGACTTTGGGAAATGTGAGTCCACTTGGTAATGGACCAATTCTGTTCAACGTCAGCATCCTAGAAACACATAGCATGAACCTAGTTCACAGTAACGGGCAAAGGCAGACCAAACGGACTTCCACTGTTAACCCTTTGCAGCCATCATATCTAGCTGCTGCCTGTATTGCTAAAATGATTTTAATGGTTGTCTAAAGGCAAAGGGCTGTTTTTTAGTATACTGCCACTAAAGGACATTTATTTATATCAAACTTTTATTTTTAGATATTATAAGCATACAGTACATAATTGATGAAATTGATATTTACTAGAGATTTATGGAGAATAGATGGCATTCAATAACTGGAGCCCTAGATTGTCACTTTATTTAAAAAAGACAAATAATCATCTGACAAGACAGCACTGTTGCCATTATGAAGAGAAAAATGTTACAGGCCTCCTAATACACCCATATGGTCATAGGACTCTCCTAAAACTGTATCTGTCTGCTTGAAGTCAATTTGTATTTGTTGAGAATGGAAAAGCTTTATTTAAGTCTCCAGGGTGACAGTTTATAAAGCTAGAGGAATTCTGAAGGAAAAAAAATTTCTAGGTGGCTAAGATTTATTGTTATAATCTTATACTGTGAAAGTCTAAGAAATCAAGCAACATTGTTTCCTAGGTCTTTTCAGGCACCTTATTTGTAGATTTATGGAGAGTTTTCAATTCATGAAGAAAATCACTAAAGTGCCTTTCTTTCTTCAAAGCAATATTATATCCAAGTATATTAATTTGTTTGAAAACTTTCCCATAGTAAATGTTGTCAGTTACCTGCAATGAGTTATTTATGTTCAGTATGCAAGACTTCCTGTGTGGACATAAACCACTCTCATGTGCTCTGAGCAGAAGGCATTAGATAAGCTTACATGACAGTTGGGGACTTATACAAATGTGGGATAAGAAACATTTGCCTAATTTTTCCATAGCTGCGTCTTTTCATTAAAGTATGAACAAGAATTGAAGTGATATTTTGCACACTTTAAAATAGTATTGGTGACCTTGAAGGAACAGCCAATGAACTCATCATAAGATTAGTTGTATCTGGCACTAATAATCCATATCTTCTTAAAGATAGAGAACCATATCACTCCCTTGGCAAGTACGGAGCAGTTGTCCCAGGCACAAGAACACAGAGGACCATGTGGTGCTCCCTTCACTTACTTGATTGTCAGTGCATCAGGTAACCCAGCACAACATAACAATTCCTGACTGGGCTCCTGTTCCACGATTCTTTAAATTATGCTATTTCTTTATTAAGACCTTCCCCCAAAATAAAAACTAATCATTTGGAGCTGTTTCCCAGCTCTCTACCATGTACTTGCAATACGACAAAGACAGAGTGAAAAATGCAGTATTAACTTGGTATAGGTTTTATGAACAATGCTTTGATATTATGCCAAAGGGAAAATTGTCCACTTAAACTAGATTAAATAGGGTGGCTAAAAATAAAAACACTGGAAATTATTTTTCTCACTTTCTCTTGATGCAATGAAGGGAATATGACACTACATATACAGAGTTGTTGGTGTTATATAATGCACAAAATATTTGGATTATTTGAATAAATGTTAGCTTTTAATCAATCTGTGCCTTAATAGAGAAAGGTTGTCTGTAAATATAGAACAGATACAGATTGTATTTTTGTGTGGGTTTTTGTCCTTTTAGTCACTTTTTTAAAAATGAGATGAAATTAACCTTAAGAATGGGAATTTTTTTCTAAACTAATCAATTGTTACATGAAAAATAAATTTAACCCCTTTGTATTGTTCTTGGTAGATGAAATGTCTTTTTTTTTTAATCTCTACACATAAAATCTATTCCTATCTTTGTTTTCTGTTTTCTAAGAAATATTTTCTCCTTTGGCTATTTTCAGCAGAGTTAAAAGATGTTTCTGCAGTGGCATTAAATATGCATTCTCTCTCCTCTCATTTTGCATTGATGGAGCTCATTTTCAACCAGAAGCTAAGGCACGTTATTTTAGCCAGTGAACCTAAGACCAGTAATCAATCATTGTTTCTCAGGTCACGCATAAGTACATATAGAAAAGTAACATTATAGAACATATTTTATTCCTGTTTCTTTCTTTTATAAAGACTGAAGTGGATGACTGCTTTGACAACCTCATCCATCAGTAAAGGCACTTCATACTGAAGTGGTGCTGGGTTTTTGACCCTGGTTCTACTTTCAGAGACTGACTGTTGTACTATCTATCACACAGAGTGCTTACACACTGAATCACATTGAGATTCTGTGTAGACTCATTCTCAAAATGGTATTGGTACTGTATTACTTATCCTCAGATTTGGCTAAATCTTAAAGAAATCCTAGCCCTCCTCCTAGCAATATCTCCACCTGAAATATCTATGCCAATTGTTCTTAAAATTTGTAGAACAAGAGTTCTTGGATAATTGAAGTCTTATCTATGTCTCAATGAAAAATTATCCATTTATTTATTCATTCATTGTATATACTTACATCTCTATATTATATATATTTTACATATGTCCCATGCTCTACTCTAGGCAGAGCTGTGACTAAAACAGAACCCCTCCTCTCACCGAACTAACTTTCTAGATGGAGAAATGTGGTGATGAGGATGGGTTGGAGGGAAGACCACCCCTACCCTTCCACATGGGCTTCCAATGCTTATCCCACTCCAAGAGAACTAAATATCAGGAGCTATCTAGAAGCCCCGGTTTTTAGTAAAACTGTTGAGGACACCCATCACTTGAAACAGGCCCATGCTTTCGAATGCAAATGTTCCTTCTAGGTTCACAAATTTAATCTCATTCTCTAAAGGAGAGCGTAGCCCAGAGGGTTATATTCACCTGAGGGTTATGTTCACCTCATCTGTACTTACACTCTGTGATGATAATGGTATGGACCATGGCTTCTTAGATTTGACTCCATACACATTGTCGTTTTTAGAATTCAAATTTACCTTAACATGAGTTTGTTAGCACTAGGGATACAATAGGCATGTTATAGTAATTGGAAATTAATTCCAGATATAGCCCTCCCCCAAGACACTTGAAAGTAGAACAAATGGGCTCTCTTTAGATGACTCTTCCCAGGGGAAATTCACCATGGTTTGGGTACTTAATACATAAATTCAAATGTGTTGAAGTGAATTTAATCTAATTTTGATGATAATTATAATTTTGATAATGTGTTCTGTAACTTCAGCCACCACCAGAGGCCATGATTCTCCTACAGCCCTACTCCAGGTAAGTTAGCTTCAGGTAACCAGGTGGAGAGATAAAGAGGCTGGACTTTGTAGTTTCACTAGCATGTAGTTAAATGTCTTAAACCTTAGGAACATTCCTCTGTACCTTAGAGGCCTCGTCCATGAAGTGAAAGCAATGCCCATCTTTGTGAGTAGCTAAAAGGGCTAGGGTTGCTGTGTGTGAATCTTCCTGCACTGTTCAGGGTACGTAGCAAGCAGTGGATCAACAGCAGCTGGGTTTTCCTTTTGCTGCATATGTCTTTTGCATGATGCTCTTCATCTGCTTTCTGTATCAGAAGGGGGAAGCCCAAACCAAGTGCCAAGGCTCACATCTATAATCCCAGCTACTTGGGAGGTGGAGATCAAGAAGATCAAAGTTAGAGACCAGCTTGGACAAAAGTTAATGAGACCCCATCTCAACAAATAAGCTGAATGTGGTGGCGTGCCTGTTATTCCTGCTATATAGGAGGCATAGATAGGAGGATCATAGTTAGAGGCTGGGCAAAAACCATGAGACCCTATCTGAAAAATGACTAAAGCAAAAAGGGCTGGGGGCATGGCTCAAGTGGTAGAGTGCCTGCCTAGACAGCATAAGGTCCTAAGTTTAAATACCTGTACTGTCAAAAAAATAAATAAATAAATAAGGGAGTCCTTCCTCTGCCAGAATGTTAGTAGAAGAAACTAAACCTCAGTCTTAGGCACCAGTTTCTTGATTGTTGGATCAGAACACTGTCCCTGAATGTATAGATCAGGGGGCTTACACTTTGTTAAGAAAGCTGTACTATATTTGATTGGGTTTTTTTGATTTATTTAAATCCCTCCTTCACCAGTGTTTTAGTAAGTGGCATCTCCATGTGGATGGAAGAGAGTTAGTAGCTGTTATCTAGTAGACATGTATGTTGTGCCATACATGTACCGTTCCCATAGAGTTCTCCTTATCTCCAGATGGCATGACCCCCTCCCCCGAGCCACCTACCCCCTGGTTGCTCAATTTTTGTCACTTTTATTCTTTCCTGCCCACCACCACCCCAAGACTTAATAATGATTCCCCTTTTATGTGTAACTGAGTTTTTCTTTTCAGTTTTGAAAAGTGAACCAAGTTAGATAATCAACCATTCCTACAGACACTGCCAGGAGACTTCAAAAACACTTCATCAAGGAATTTCACATTTTTGTTGCTTTTTAAAATACTTTGACTCATTCTGAAAGGAGGCAAGTAGAGCTTGAAGTTTCCTTTCTCAAGGGTTAGGCTATGAATGTGTTTGGAACAGATTTGGGGATTGCAGTCTGAATCTGACTTTGGATGCAGAATTTCTGTGTGGGAACCAGAACCTTTAGGAAAAAATTACAGTAACTGAAATGTTTCAACTTCAAAATAGAATGTTTGGATAAGTTACAAGAGAAAAAAAAATGAGTAGCTCAACAATTGGGTGTGTGTGGCCCTTTTTCTCAAGGCCAGAGAAAACAAATAGCTGTGAATTTACTGTCTTCAGTGCTTCTTAATCCCTCCTAGAGAAGCTGTGGGAAGCACACTTTAAAAGACTTTAGCAAAACATCTATAAAACAATTGATGTTCAAACAAAATTCTCACCCAGGCACAATTGTGTCTTTGTCCAAGCTGCCAGTGCTATTTGATTAAACATTACCATGGGTAAAGTTTTCCAGCTTTGTAAGTTTGGTTACGTGGGTGGATGACATTTCCTTACTTTTTTCCTTCTTTGCCAGAGTCACAAATTGACATTAACAACAGTCAAATGAGTTTGCTCTATGTAAATTTCTTCCTATGACTTGAAAAATGTCCACAATAAAAAGATGCCACCTTCTGTTTCACAGATTTGAGTTGAATTTCTAAGTAAGGAGGGAAATTTCCATCCTAGTACTTTATATAATTAAAAGTTTTTTTTTTTAAATACCTTAAATATCTCCTGTAAACTAGGGGTAGGAGTTAGAAAGTTATGGCTCTGCCTGTCATATAATAAAATCAGCATTATAATAAGGCTCTTTTAAATTATAGTCCTGTTTTTAAAAATCAGAGAATTTAGAATTGAGTATTACGAATGATAATATTTGTCTCCTATGGATCTTTATAAGCCTAATATAAACATGTGTATCGTGTATCCATGTAATAGGAAAGAAGCCTAAATATGAAAGATGGATCCCTGATTTTCTGTTCACACTACTTCTAAGGCAGTGATCTATTAATAATGAGAAGCCAGTTAAAGAGTTAAAAAATGTAAAAGCAGTGCCTAATTTTATGTCCTCTCCATCTGGTGTTTTCTGTATGAGGGATTCTGTTTCTGCTAACAGTAACTGAAGGCAAGTGATGCAAATACAGGTGTCCATTGTGTTTTTCAAACCATATGTAGTGAAAAAACTTTTTCTATTTTTTTGTTTTTCAACT